TATATATATATATATATATATATGTATAAGCACTGAGTTCAACTCTGACATTTTCATTAACACTCCGAGTGCTAAAGTATTTGGTGTCCCATTTAATTAACAGAGAGCTGACAGCAAACTGATATCAACCAATAAGCATAAACAAAAGACGTTTACGTTACATTTGTGTGAGAGGCTAGGTGGCAGGCTGCATTCAGATTTTGCAGCTGAGCTCCAATATCGGTTCTAAGGATATTATTCCAGGGTGGAGGGACCGGCAATATTGAGTTGTGAACCCGACGATTTACCTAACAGGAGACGGTTAACAGAGGAACTTTAGCTCGACACTTTGACAACTTATTTCTCGTCTTAAGAGTTGCTAAGCCACTCAGTTTGTGTACGCAGTGACTTGATAGTTATACACGCTAGAGTCATAGTAGAATAGTTGTACACTAGGCAGTGATCAATATATTAAAGAATTTCATATAATTCAATGTAAGTAGGTAACAAAAGGATGGATTTTACAAAATGTTCAAGATAAACAGACGGTTTAAAAACTTTGAGGCAAACAAGGGTGAGTTGGGTACAATGAAATATTCTGGGTTCAACCCAAAGCAATATGGCCATTAAAGGAATTTAGTTTAACCGTTAGAGAGGTTACCGAAATCCTCACTCATTCAACTCGTCTAAACGTTTAATTCAGTTGGAATAATTTGAGTTCCATTGTTAAGTTTCTAAATTTCAAGTCCAACATTTTACTGCTTACAATTCAATGGTAACCGCAAATTTCGAAATGTGTATGCTTTCTATGGAATGAAACTTATTTGCAAACCGATAACTTTTACTCGAACGAAGAGAGTTAGCCAGTCTACGCCACCACTAGACCAGTCTCACCGACCGCTGCACTGTTCAGAACTAAGCAGCGAAAACATTCATTTTATGCTTGACTATTATTATCATTGACTTATTTCGAGGAACCAACATTATTCATACACATCTGCTAAGCGAAATTACCCATTATTTACATTAAAGAACCTGCGATCACGGGATTCCGTCCCATCGCTCTTTCCAACTGAGCTACAGGTCGAGTTAGCAAGTCGACGAAATTATCCTGTGTCTGGTAGATAGATCTTTGTACTGAGTTTTCTCGGCTTTGGATACACACACATATGTACATGCGTGTACGGAATAGCCCATACACTCACAATATATTATATTTGTGTATGTACAGGGTGGCCCATTTACAGTGGTCTAAAATTTTTTTTCGAAAGAGGACATTATAACTACCCATTTCAAATAAACATTACTTCCGCGTAAATCAACAATTTAGAAGTTATTATTTTTAGGTACTTTTTTAAATTGTCTACTCTAGTCACTAAAAATAGTCTAGTATGAAAGCTATTCCACTAAGTTAATTGAAATTTAGTATAGAAGTAGTGTGACCATGTACTTAGCATGCAATAAGCCATTTTTGTGTTAGTTCTTAAATTGCGCCGTTATTAACCGTAATCACTCATCACACAATTTATCGAAAATTTAAATTTTCGAAGAATTCCTATTGTGAGAAAAGTGCAATCAGAATTTGCTAACGGCCTTAAAAACTATCTTAATATGTAGGGATTGTTTACAAATAAAATAATTCTAGCGTTGCAACTTTTGTTGACATGACGTGTCAATTTATGAAGATGTTACAATCAATGATGTTAAAGTCAATTTTGGTTTTTGGTGACTCAATAAACCAAAATTGACTTTGTATCATGATCGCTATTGGTTCAACTCAGATTTACCTTAATTATTCTCAAATTAATCTTAGACCTTACCATTTGACCATAGACCTTACGAATTTCTACATGCGCTTTCTGCAGATCTTTGTTTTTGATATGAAATGTGAAATATATTTATTTTATCTTAAATAAACGTTTGATTGCTTACCTTGACCGTCTCGTTGTTGGATCTTTCATAACCATGACTTCTGTGATTTCGCCGAATTTGTTAAAGTAGTCTCGAAGGCTCTCTGCAACAAGAAAAAGCACTTCATAAAATAATATAACACATTAATTGAAAAAAAAAAAAGAGAAATATACGCCATTTAGATCCGAAAAAAATATTGTTTTATTTTCTATGTGTAACAAACTTGAAAACTTAAGAACTCGATAATATACACACTCAAGAACAAGAACCTAAAAGTATAAATTGGAGGAAGATAATGTTGAAAGTTACACACTCGGCACGTTTAGCGAAACACTAATATCCCAGTCTGGCTGGTTGTTCTACAAAATTAAAAATTGTACGTCAAATTTGTGAATTAAAAATTAGTCGACTGTCATTTTTTCATTTAATTTGTTTTAATTTTCTACTAATACATTGGTTCGAGGTTGATTCTGCGTTCTTGTAAATTTCGGAAACTTCACTTGAGAAAGTTTTTTGCTTATTAAACTTTGATGTAATTAATGTTAAACTGGAGTACACAAAAGTAGCCTTTCCCGCACGACGTGACATACCTTTTCTGTACATCTGGTGCATCCCGAGCAACAATCAGCGAGTATCTTGTGCCGATTGACAAATCATTCCACCACTACGGCAAGCGTAATAGTGTAATCATGCATTTTAATAAATTTTCAAGTATTTTAGTAGCATTAGAGCTCCTTGTGGAAGATTTCGTCCAGAGACATACTGCCACCTTACCTATTTCTTTATATTATTAAAAAAAAATCAAAATTCATCGATACGATAAGAAGAAGAATGTTAAACTGCTTCATTTTTTTTTCAGTCGTTTCTGTTTTGCCTGAAAATGTAAAAAAAAATGTAAGACGAATTGTACTAAGTGATATCATTAATGAAAGTCGACAAAGGATATTAATTTTATTGCTATATATATGTGTAATTCTTATTTATTTAAATATGAACGTTATTATTTCATATTCTATCTTTTTTTGTTTCGTTAAATGCGCCGGCCGGTCTGTGTACTTTAGGGATTTGTGTATAATTTGTCATTATTATTTTGTTTGCATACAGAGGCGAAAGTTTTTCTGATGCTAGCTGTAAACACAAAAAATCAGCTATGTAAACCCTACATAAATCCACGCAACTCAAAGAATAACATTCACAAAATAGTTGTATTCGATGGAGTACATGTAGTTTGAAAATAACAGAAAATGGAAACTTAAAAAGTATTTTTACTAGGACATGTAAATAGGTACAAGACTTTTATTATTGGAAACGATCGGACTACACATTTTTCCGGAGCAAGAAATGTCAACCACGCATTGGTACATCGACAAAAAGCGCTCAATGCTCATGGTACATTCACTCAACATTTTCACACAATGGAAGGGTCTCGTTTTGTAACGTCGAAGCCTTTTCGATTCGCACTCCATAAAAGTAAGACGATAAGAGTCGTTCCCTTCAAATGACTGAAGGAGTCGTCAGGCAGAATGTTTGAGAGAGCACGCTTCACAGAACCGTTCCGGCTGTTTATCGTGTCATGAAAGATTTGCTTCGACAAGAAGCCCGAGTATTTAGTATCGTGTTTCTCTATTTATACAGGCTTGTTAAAGCATCTCGAATGCCTGTCTTAAATACATGCAAGGAACATCCATGGCGAGATTTGTTTGCGACCGCGCGCCGCACTCGCTAATGGATAGGTTGGGTAGGCTCCCTCTAAAATGAATATGCTGATTTCCCACGTCCATGTTTTTAGGCTTATTTTACATAATTTCCGGTCAGTAGCTGACGCGTCATTTTGATTAATTATTTTGATGATATTCAAATAAGACGACAGGCTTAATAAATTGCTTGCCATCGATCCCCGAAGATAGATTAGAAGCATCTAATTCACAAATGTAAAATTTATCTATTTTTTAAATTAATGTCATGTTTTACAATTAATTAAGCTCCTGTACAGTGAAGTTTTCGATTAATACTAATTAAGAACAAACAGGCCAATCACGAGAGGCTTATTGCGGGATACATTCCAATTTAAAGTTGCCTTCAATCCGACAGGGAAGGCGCTTCTAAAACCAAATGTTGGTCCACGCTTTAAAGTCGATTTTCGACTTGTTTGGAAGAGAACTTTTCTAATCTGACCAGGCTGCCCGGCCTTCGGTTGCGCACTTCGGAACAGTAATGAAAAGTAACGATTGCATGCTCACTTCACCATTAATCAGCATGTGTGAGGATAGATGTTTTATTTTCTTTTTGTACGAACTCCTCCTTATAACTGAAAGCGTGAAAATAAATTTCGGGTTTCCTTAAATTTCAATACAACTTAAAAGATGTATAGAATATTAGATCAGGACCACTTATAACTTATTCCAAATCCATAAATGAGTTCGAGTAAGATTAGGCGCAAAGCAAGAGTTTGTTAACCTACCGCCAACCCTTGTCATCTCAGGCTGTATGTATATTTTATTTAGATGACGCGTACCAGGCAATACTGCGAAGGACAGCGGGGTGGATTCGGCACAGTTGCTCAACCACCATAAAATTAGCATTTGGCTGGCGAGTAGCATTTTCATTGGAAGACGAGGTAGGTACCTGAATTATTCGACCGCTCTTCCGACGACGAATGGGGGATCGGAGATTTTGTATTCCTACTAAGACCGAGGATTTTCTTGCGTTTTCCTGGATTCTGTTTTCTACGACTTTGTTTTATTTGCAGAAGGTTCAAGAAAATTCTACACAGAAATGTTGCGATAAAAGTAGGGTTGGAATATATTTAGTTCAAATTTTTACCTGATAGAAATGTGCTTATTGGAAAAAGAAGAAAGAATTAAAACGTTAAACGAATTCTGATATTTTTAGGCGAAGCATCAGAAATTATATAAAATCTAGTTAAGATTGATTATAACATTTTCATAAAAACCTAATAACAATCGCTAGTTGACAAGAGGCTAGCAGCTGCAATATTATAATTAACATAGTGGGGGGAAAGAAAAGGGGTGATGCAGCACTTGCTTAACCACCGTTAAATTGAAAGTTGCTACGACTCTCGAACTAGCACCTTGCAAAATTACAACGTAATGTAGCTGCAGCATAACTTTAATAATTACGTATAATATTATTTATAATGAGAACTTGCCATTACAATTATGCTGTTTTCAATAGTAATAAAACAGTTTAAAAAAGTATGTCAAATCGAATTTTTAGGTTTTCGCAATTACCACAGTAAAGGACTCGAAACATTGGTTTGTTTGAAAAAACAAATATATGCGATTTAAATCCAGAAAAATTGTTTCATTTCCTAAACGTATATCAAAGATTATATAAAATAAAACGCAGGAAAATAGAAGTAAATTATCACAGAAATCTAAACTTATTTAGTTTTCTGTGGGTAATTATGTCGACCGACGAATACAATTTAGTTACGAAAAAAATGTTTTTTATAACAAGCGACTGAATTCAAGTTTGTGCAGTGTAAATTACTCGACAGTTTACTTGATCGTCACTAAAAATATTGAAATTCTTGCAATATTTTAGCACCAACATCCAAACCGTTTTAACATGCCATGATGAGGCGCAAATGCTTGCGCTTAAAGACCAATGTTTCAGTTAGTATCGTATAATATAACAGTCAACGTACCATCACTTTCCAACAGGTGGACCGTCAATATGTGCGCCATTACGCATACCATAAAAAAATATTAGCGGAAGATCTACACGCCCTTTGAAAGCGACGGAGTTCGTGTAGTCAGGAAAAGGACTGATCGAAGTCTTTATTCAGTCGCCATAAAATTGAAATTCGTTCAAAACCGACGCTACCTACAATCTCACAAGCAAATGTCGTCAAATTATTTTAATTACTAAAAATGACTGAAGTTTTAAGTTGTTATTATTCTGCATTACAGAAATTTAGTCCTTTCCGATGACGCATATTTGTTTTTTTGCTAACTACGCTACGGGTTGTGATTGTTTTCTTTCTCTTTCATTATATTTCAAACATCTGGTGGATATGCATATTTATGTCAATAATTTCGCAATCTCTGTTACTTTAAAGAACAAAATTAAATGTAACAAATCGTTAGCCCAGGTGAACAGGGTATTTATTATCTCAAAAACACATATTTTTCAGGAGAGCAATTTTAAACTTTCTTGTAACATTATTTCAGCCGCTATTGTTATTTGATTCTCCGCACCTATACGTTTTTAAAGCCTACACATTTAACAGTACTTTCGAATATTTCTTATTGTCATACATTTTCGTAGGTGAACCGTTCATTTAATCTACATTGCACGTAATTTAAAATTTTGGCGAGGATGAACTGTTTACATCACTACAAAGAACATCAAATTTTGAATCGAACTATGTAAATAACTTAAATGCGTCTAAATCGTAAGTTGCATTAATTCGCGCTAAAAGTAGCGATATATGGAATATGATGACGATTTAGATGTCATAATGTTGTGAAATCATTGACATTAGAAATGTCAATACAAATATTCTACGCTACTGTATTAAATAAAAATAATAGTTAGCCTATATACATATAGTTTCACAGCACAAGACTCGTCTCCCAATGGCTTAGTCTGTAGTGTCCAATGCGGTTTCGGAACTTCAAACACATCATTAAATTAATTTGCAAATGAGTGCAGATTTTCTCACACTGTTTTCTTGCACCGAAAATCTTATGGTAAATTTCGTATTAAATTTCTCACATAAATTCTAAAAACTTAGAGGCGCAAGCCCGGATTCGAATCGACGGCTCTCCACTTGAGATGCGGTAGGTCAAACCATTAAGCTGTCAGGGCTACACTACTGCTAGTAAATTATTAAATATAACTTTACTTTTAATAAAATTACATAGCAATAGAATCGCTCATGACAAATTGCCTTACAAATTGAAAAGGAACCGAGCGGCGTGGACATAATTTTATGGCGACAAAATTTTTATAGACGTTTTGCCATAAACTACTGATGCGTCCAATCCAAACTGAGGTTTAGATTTGAAAAGAAATAAACCTCACTTAAAACAATGCACTAAACTCCAAATTTGTAACACAAAGTCAATATCCATC